AATAGCACAATTGTTTTTATTTTAACTTTATTTTTATACATCAAAGAAATGTAAAAAAAAAAATATTTTAAACGTGATGGCCGGCATCCCACTCATCTTAATATCAACAATCAATTACACAACACTCTATATTAGCAGCATTTCCCAATCCTGTCCAGGGGCGAAGGGAGAAGGTGTTAAAGGTGCAATTAAGCCCCCCTCTCCCTCCCCCTCCCACAATACGCCAACGTTTAGTTACGTTTTTTGGTCGAGAACGCGCTCTTGTCGCTTCGATGTTCACAGTTTCAGAATTTTAACTAACATAAAATCACATATTTCACAATTCATTGTTATGTATATGTATGTAACATACACACACACACACACACACACACACACACACATATATATATATATATATATATATATATATATATATATATATATATATATATATATATATATATATATATATATATATATATATATATATATATATATATATATATATGTGTCTACGTGTATGTGTGGAGAAACATTTTTCAAAACATACCCTTAACAAATTCATACAAACGCCACTCATCTGTGCTAAAGATGATTTTCACCCTCCTCTCTTATGGCTGTTATTTTCACCCCTCCCCTCCCCCCCCCCCCGTCTTATGGCTGTTATTTCCCAATGACTAGCCGTGCTTTAAAAAGTCGACTAATCAAATTAACAAACAATAGCCATCAGACAAGCAGGGGTGGGGGTAGGGTATCAACGCCATCAGCGTCGTGTTACAGTAGAGTTGCGCAAGGACTGACCGGACGATCGGCACGTTTTAAAGTTGTTTGTAAAAAAATATAAAGAGCACTCAATTAAAAATATAAAGCTGTTTGTAAAATATGAAGAGCACTCAATTAAAAATGTAAAGCTGTTTGTAAAATATGAAAAGCACTCAATTAAAAATAGCCAATCGAGTATGATTAGAGATCGTTTCAAAATATAGTCAAAGGTTGACATGAAGTCAACGTTGTACGTGTAGCTTACAGGATGGTTTACTTTGACACTCTGTACCATTTACAGACAACGACTATTACTTTTTGCTGGAGTTCTTAGCATTGGAGGTCACAAAAACCTTAACATACAGGCAGCATTGAGGTAGAACTCACAAAGAAAGTGAAAGTTCATAAAAAAACGGGTTTTCAGATCTAGATGGATTAGTTAGTAGTTTATATAATGTTTTTATGTATTAATTTACAGGTAAATAATAAACATGGCTTGTTAGTTTATTTCTTATTAGAATCTAGAGCTCATTTACTTCATTGATAAAGGTTTTCATCAGAGTTAATTAATTTTTAAAATAAGCTTAAAAGAATTATGATTTTTAAAAAAATACTGTTTAATAATATATTGAAGAGATGTGAGCGACCCCTCCCCCCGTTCTACTGTATAACCTTCAGGAGGGACCAGCACTTGATTTTTATTTTATTTTAGATCAGCTATATAACACTGTCTACATACCTAGCCTTGGTGGAGAGACATAAATTTTAAACGACCATAAAAATAAAACAAAAATGGTATAATTTAAAGTTCCTATCATGTTGCAGAACAACATGTGTTGTAAAGACTCTGCTAGTTTCACTGCATTCTGTTAAATAGTTTTTGAGATATCTTCATTAGAAATTTTGGAGTTGGCTGAAAAGTGTTGATGGCTATTTTTGTAAAAAATAAAATATTATCAAAACTAGTCATCTATAAACACTAAAATAAGTATTTCAACACATTTTTTGGGTACATTAGACTAGTTCAAGTAATTAATGGGATGTTAGAGTTGCATTAGACAATTAAATACACATAGGCAAAAAGATCAAGAGAATGCAATTTTTAACTACTGGTGTCCCCCCCCCCCTTCAGGGCAACCGGCCATGTATTTACATGATTCAACGTGTGATCAATTACCAGCAATGTTAACATTTGGTCACGATTCTCCACAAAGCAGATCATGTAAGTGATTTAATTGGTTCATGATTCTCTTCTAAAATATCGGTCAAAGTTCCTTTCTCGTAGTTGTAAAAGTAAATTTCCCTTCTACACATGACAGTCTATGGGCAAGGGAAATAGAATTCACCTGTTTCTATAATCATCTTAATATATTATACGAGTTATGCTTTGATAGAGTTTTTCATTTTGGTAAAATTAAATAAATAGAGCCCCATACTTGAATAGACCATTGGATGATTTTGCATTGGAAATCAAATCACAAAACCTGGGCCCTAAGTTGAGAAGACCCAGGTGTTGCCCGTGCATTAGGTCACCACTGATAGAATATTCTAATATGAAATATTATCATCATCTTTTCCCGTTCGTGCCCAAGACGCATTGAGCAGATGAAGTAGAGTTCATCGGTTACAATGACCACGGTATACAAAGCAATAATGTGGTCAGCACTATACCCAGCCATGTTTGTTTTCCTAACGTAAATCAGGTATCCATCATAGCTGAGTGGACTCCTGAGTGCCGTCCTACAGTCATAAGTCTGAACCGAGATCCGAACTCGAGACCTTCAAGATGGCAGGCAAACTTTCTACCATTCGACCACCCCGTCCCAATATGAAATAAAAGACTCTAGTTTTGCCTCTGGAGATAATGCATGCACCAACAGAAGTAGAATAGTAGATGGCGCAGCAATATATCGGATTAACAGATTATGTGTTGTCCAGGCATCGTGACCCCTCTCTTGACATTTGCCTGTATACACCTATGGAATGCTAAACAATACGGTGTGTACCAGCTTCATTTGCAGGAGTTGCCGCAAGGAAACCAATGTTGGTAATCCTCTCGCCTAACTCCTGTTTGATTTTACTAGTTAGACAGCCTCATCTGTCCGGGTATTTAAACTCTGGAATGTCGAGTTAGCAGCCATGAACTCTACCGTCCGACCACGATGTCCATTTGAATTTAGAAACTTTAATTCGAATAGAAATCTATTACGGTGGGATTTTGACAAAAATTTACATTTAAAGATGATATTTAGACCCTTTTCATATGTTTTACGATGAAATTTTCGGCTAATGTATTCCAAAAGTTGTAATTTTGACCTAAGTAACCGTCACGCAAACGACAGTAAGAGCTTACTTCATGTCTACCATTTATAGGATTCTAGTATTAAAAGTCCAATGTATTCCTAATTTGTATATACATTTAACTAACTTCTTGGTTCGCATACCAGTAAAACTTGTCTGAGATTTAATTATACACACATTTACAGAATACTTTTTTTTGGGGGAAGGAGTTGTGGAATGACTTACGGGTATATAAACCAGCTTACAGTGTAGAACAGGATGAAAATACGATACTCTCAACAGCATGACGCATAGTGTATTGCTTAGTGTATGTGACGAACTCTCCAACTTCAGGGAAAAAAAACAACTAAAAGCTATGACATTTTTACGTTGTATAAATTTTTAATCCAATTTCCTTTTGTTTAAAATGTTACACTTGTATTAAAAAAAAACTTAGATTCTGCTAAATATCAATACGCTAATGAGGACGGTATACCTTTATAATGTAGCTCACATTAAAAACCTTACTGACAAAAGGTTTTTGAAGTAGTCAGATTCAATGCCGCAATACCCGAGGGACGAACTATCATAGACATTAAAACATTAGGCAGTCGTTAGAGATACAATGAGACAGTTCGCGACCAATGTAGATAGTGAGACTTACACAGTCATTATAGTGAGATCTACATTCATTATAGTGAGACCTACAGTCATTATAGTGAGATCTACATTCATTATAGTGAGACCTACAGTCATTATAGTGAGACCTACAGTCATAGTGAGACCTACACAGTCGTTATAGTGAGACCTACACAGTCGTTATAGTGAGATCTACATTCATTATAGTGAGACCTACAGTCATTATAGTGAGACCTACAGTCATTATAGTGAGACCTACACAGTCGTTATAGTGAGACCTACACAGTCGTTATAGTGAGATCTACATTCATTATAGTGAGACTTATACAGTCATTATAGTGAGACCTACACAGTCGTTATAGTGAGACCTACACAGTCGTTATAGTGAGATCTACAGTCATTATAGTCTGACATACAGTCATTATAGTGAGACATACAGTCATTATAGTGAGACCTACACAGTGAGACTGAACGCAGTTATTATAGGTACCAATACCTGTAGGACCACCACAAACCCACATCTACGACCACCACAAAACCACATCTACGACCACCACAAAACGACCTCTACGACCGCCAAAAAACCCACCTAAACGACCACAAACCCACCTCTACGACCATAAAAAACCCACCTCAAGGGCACCCACAAAACTACCTCTACGCCCACCACAATCCCACCTCTACGACCATAAAAAACCCAAATCAAGGGCACCCACAAAACTACCTCTACGCCCACCACAAACCCACCTCTACGACCATAAAAAACCCAACTCAAGGGCACCCACAAACCCACCTCTACGACTACCACAAAACCACATCTACGCCCACCACAAAACCTCATGCAACCACCTCACACTCAACAAACCTCGGCTGTTTCAATCTCCAGAATTGAGTCCAAGAGAACCTTCTCGACGCTTCTTCCTGGAACTCTTCAGCCATCCCAACCCCCAACCCTTCCCTCCCACCCCCTCCCGCTTCTCCATCTATCTGACGTCACAGTGTACCCCAACTCTCCAGTCACGTCCATCCCACACATAACATGACGTCATTATAATACCCCCACCCTCTCTCTCCACCCCGCACAACCACCTCAGTCTCCTTAACCCATCACCGTCTGATCATGACGTCATATACTTTGTCCCTTTGCCATTACGAATCTCAAAAAAAAAAAAATAATAATAATAATTATAAATAAAACCTTACGGTCCCAACCCCTGACTCAGGATTGGCTAGTCGTCCCCGCGACGGATCTGCATTATTAATGAGCCTCCTGATCACGTGGGCGCGGGGGGACGCCGCCTCGTGGAGACGGCGAGACTTGGCCGGGACACCGCGAGAGGTGGGTAGACAGTCGCGCAAACCCTGACGCCCGCCGGATCGAAGGGTAAAGTTGCCCGCGCCGCGTCGCTTACTTCGCTGAGTATAGGGGGAGCTGTACAGGACAATAAAACTAACTTAGAAGCTCCACGCAAGGTTCAACCATTCAAGATTTTCCACTTACTAAAAAAAAATAAAAACAACACTAATTTTTACTCATATTTCGACTTAAGCACTTATCAAAAAAACTTAACATTATTTTTTTAGAAACTAAAATTTATTAAAAATTAATTGAACCGAGAATTTTATTTTATTTTTTTAACTAATTAAACAAAAATAAGAAAAATAACTTTAATATTTCTTTAACAAAAATTAAATTTAAACAACTTCCTGTTATAAGAATTAAAGAATTTATATTTTGAAAAAAAAGTTGTGAAAAGATTCGTCACATTCCCTAGAAGAATCTCGCGCTACTCTCGTTGGCTGTGCGTTCAGACACGGTCTTGCCGTCAGAGGACTACTAATCCAGTGCTCGTCTCACTTTTCGATTGGTTTCTGTGTTTCTCCGCGTAGAAGACTTCTCCAGCTGAAAGGTAAGACCCAAATAAAGTATTTTTGTTTTAATTTCAATTCGCACGTTTAAATCACTTATAAAACAATTTCTTACAAACACTCTCATAAAAGTTTTTTTAAATATATTTTTTTAGAGTTTTAAAATGTTTTGTTTTGCAAAAATGATGTGAACATGGAATAAAAAAAAGTTCCTTCTTTCCCAAATTTGTGAGAGATTTAGTACAGTGAAAATTAATGATTTAGTAAAGTATAATCTGCATTTATCATTCTTGTCATATAAGAAAAATACATTTTAATTTTACATTAAAGTCTTTTATTCTGGGATTTTTTTTTAAACTTGATTAAAACAAAGGAAAATGAATATTTTTTTTTAAGTTTTAAACTATGATAAAATTGTGTTTGTAATGTTTTTGGTTTATAAAAATTTTTTTTTTTCGAAAAGTACGTTTATGGTATTAAATTGCACATATCAAAATAACAAGCCCATATCGAACATGATTAAAACTTAAAGAAAATTTATTTGAAAACAGTTTTTTTTTCGTTTTGAACAATGAGGACATTTTTTCAACCTGTAGTTTGTTAGAATTTTGTTTGATTTTTTTTTCGAAAAGTAAGCCTATGTTTATGGTAGAAAATAGCAAAATATCGAGATACCTAGCCCAAAAAAAAAAAAAAAAAAAAACACGCAGGTTAGAAAGAAGTTTGAACATCACCCTAAATCTTTTGGTACCGAACAAATTATTTTGAAATCAAGGAGTTGCCTAATGGTGAAGTTAAACAGTCTTCAGCCATTATCATCATCTTTCTAATGGACTTATGTCAAGCACAACCACAACCACAACCGCACTACAACTACACGGCAATAACCACACGGAAATCATAACACAACCACACGAGAAAAAATACTTATTTATAAATCTCTACTTTTTTGCGAATTATAATTTTTACATCAATATTGCAAACTTAGTTTCCATTAACTTTGACATTGCGGATATGCGATTAGGTCCGTGTGTTTCCTTTACACCTTCTTCAAAGGACCGCCAAGCATAATTCGCTACTTTAATACATCCTGTAGGAATAAGATTATAAACTTAAAGCAAGATCCATCTAAAATAGTTTAAAGCACATCCAGTTTAAGCTTTTAATTTTCCTTTAGGCCTATATTTTTCGCAAACGGAGATTTCTTTAAAAAAAATGTATTATGCGTAATTTAATATTTTTAAAATGAACATTTACCGATCGCTTATACTTGCTTTAAGAATGCTTTAAAATTCTTAATTAAAGCAGTAACGTGGTTATGTTTAATCGCTTCTAAATGTCGATAACTGAAGTGGTAAAGGTGGATGGTAGAATTTTATGCAGGGTAGAAGGGCACTCAAGGAAATAATGTGTTGAATATATTTGCATACGTTTAATCTTAATCGTTTCAAATATTCATTCATTAACGTTATCAGTTTCATAGCGTGTGTAAAACGCTAGATTAAAACCCTATGGGAATAAACTTTACCACCAAAAAAAAAGATTAATTTTTATTTAGATTTTAAATATTACCACCCCATACATTTACTATATAATGATGCGTTGAATGAGCCGTAGAAGGGTTTTTAATGAAAAGTACTTTTAGTTTAACAATTATTCCTACTACTTTTAAAAAGTTTTTATAAAGTTTGGAATAATTACATTGTTATGTATTCCCAAACCAAAAAATGTATGTTATTTTTAAATGATGCTTTGATACATAAATTATCGAACTTTGAATACACATTCAATAACGCGGAATGGTTGTTGTTGGGTTTGTTTTTTTCAATAATTTATTATTAAAACAACGATAAAACACGTAAAGAATTGAACTCAATAGAAATCACTGATTGGCGCAGATGACAATAATCTAGGATCGATTTAGGCGTGCGTTGTCAAAAATAAGGGTTCAATTTCTGAAATATTTTTGTGGTTTAATATATGCAATATTTTAGTGGTTTGAAACTTCAAAATATTTTAGTGGTTTAATATCTGCAATAATTTAGTGGTTTAATATCTGCAATATTTTGGTGATTTAATATCTGCAATATTTTAATCTACCTTATAACATATTGCACATATTTCATTGACAATGTCGGTTATAGTGCACGAGTATATAACAGTAGAGCCTTCAGGCGTGGTTCGAATCCCGCTTACACGTCCATAATTTTGTTATCAGACGGGATTTCAAAATTCATTGAGCAGGCATTTTAAATCCCTGTATTGAATTTCTACATTTAATTTCTGTATCGAATTTCTGTATTAGATTGCAGTGGCTATTAAGCACGCCCTTACTGCACATCGGTGCATTGATTTTGTGCAGTTATCGCCACGCAAATCTGGACTTTAATAACATTGACCATAAATCTACTCTAGTTCTAATCCTAAACTTAACTCTACTAGCTTTATGGGAGAACAAATTCAGTACGATAGTGCTCTCGGCGTATTTAGAAGAACTAAAGACATTTTTTTTAAAAAAGTAATTAATACCTATTCAATGAAATTAATTAAAAAACTTTAGATAGTAAAGAAAATGTTCTTTTAAATAAAATATAATATGTCGTTCTAAAACAAAAAATGTTGACCACTTTGTCAAGAACTGTTATACTTTTAGTATAACGATCAACATTCAAATATACAAACAAAACTAAAATAAAAAGAACAACACTCTAAATTTGGAAATTCATTCCAATAAGAATATTTTAAAATTATGTTCTTGCCGCATATATTATACAAACAAAAGTAGGTTTTGTTTAAAATAAAATTCCTCCACAAATCGCAAAACAAAACGGCCGTCTTTGATGTTCTGTTCTAGCAAGTCTTCAGAAGCACACAACTATTCTCGCATTAGCAAATTCTTCTTAGTCCTCTTGCTCGTCCGCCGTGACGCGACTACAGAGCAGGAAAAAAAAACTAAAATCTATAACAACTCCTATAGAAATCATTACCTATTTGGATCCGTAGGAAGCATATAGATGCCACGACTATCGATATAATCGATATGTTTTACTGCTTGATGAAGCGTGTTTTTTTTTTAAGAATACAAGCTTTCTGTTTCTAAACGTAAGAATTTGCATCTTGATCGAGTTGAGGATTATTTTACTCGTAGCACTCGATGACTCACAAAACTACATAGCGATTTTTGTGTTCCTTTCTATGTCAAAATCCTAATGTACTGAATTGCCATGTTTTTAACTTAGTGCATCGTCTTTCCCATTGACTATTTTCTGCAAATACCATCTGTCCCATTGCCCATTTTCTGCAAATACCATCTGTCCCATTGCCTATCTTGTGCAAATACCATCTTTCCCATTGCCTATCTTCTGCAATTATATCTTTCCCATTGCCTATATTCTGCAAATACCATCTTGCCATTGATTATCTCATATAAACACCATCTTGCCAATATTCTTTAATTAGAATGTCATCTTATCATATAGAGCTTAACGACTGACTCTTCCATCCAGTTGTTTGTCAAAGCTATAATCAGCTTGACTGCCGTAGCACAACTTTCTATAGACTGCCACGACTGCCACTTGATTTCGTTTTGTTTCTACCATCATTTTTTTTCGTCGACTTTTTTACCACTATCTTTCTTTGTGAATTTTATAATATTCTATAATTTTACTTGAAAAGAAAAAAAACATTTTTTTTATAAACCGTCAACGTTATCACCATGTTTTTATCCTATCCACTGGTTTTTTTTTATACAGACTATATAACTATCACATGACACGTAATCATATGTCTTTGGTTTTCCGGCTTTTTCTTTAAGAAAAGTGCTATAATATGAGTAAGTTAAAAAATATAGATTTTTTTTTCAAAATAACAACTTTAAAAAAAAACACACATTCTATTTGACTTAACTGATTATTAATTTAAAACCCGTAATGAGCAAAGGGATGCAACCACACCTCTTCACCGGACTCTGTTTTGGGCAGCTCACTTTAGTTACGCCCATGTTAGCCCAATAGTCCTTGCCTCTCCTTCCACTGTCCTGCTTGTGGATTGCTAATGTCGGCCTACTTAAAGGTTTTAATTACGCTTATAATCAAAGTCATACAATCTTAAACAAAAGCATTCCGTGAATTTCAGTTACTGTTCCGAATATGAACTATCGTTTTGATGCTCCGTTCTTGTTTGTGTTTCAACATCATTTGAAACCGCACCAGTTTCAACAACATCAATGTGTTTGTTGTAATGAATGCCAGATAAAATTTCAACAATTGCGATAAATCTAACGTAGTCAGAAGAGACACGTTGTGATTTCAAAACACCTTTGACAGATCAGAAAAAAAAATTACATTTTCATGACATGAAATGCACTATAATATTTGTGTGTTAATAATATACAAGTAATGTGAAACTCAGGTATATTTTATCAAGCGACAGATTTTAAAATAATGTGATTGGATTAAAATAAGGACGTAAACTAGTTCTGGGAGTTTACATACATGGTTTAGTTTTCACGTACAAATTCAAGAGCATGACACGTTTTAAGTTATTTTCTTTGGATATTCGTGAATTGCAAGATTTTTGTTTCAATGGTATTGTCGCATAGAGAGTCTTAGCTGAGGGAATTTGTGTGGAAGGGAATTTGTGTGGAGGGGAATTAGTGGAAGGGAATTTGTGTGGAAGGGAATGTGTGGAAGGGACTTTGTGTGGAAAAGAATGTGTGGAAGGGAATTTGTGTGGAAGGGAATTTGTGTGGAAGGGAATTTGTGTGGAAGGGAATTTGTGCCACGTGAGCTTGAATTCTTATCATTTTTCAGCAGTTGTAGTCTTAAAATCCACACATCCTTCCTATTGTGATAGCGTCGTAACCCACCTATCTTAAGTAATAACTTTATAATCCAACCATCCTTCCTAAATTGATAGCTTTCCAATTCCCCCATCCTTTCTAAAGTGTTAGCTTTATAATTCCCCAATCCTTCCTAAAGTGATAGCTTTATATTACCCATCCTTCCGAAAGTGATAGCTTTTTTATCCAACCATCTTTCCA